ATGTTTGCTTTCTGTGGACAGGAAAAACCCACATTGCTGCTCTGCCTTTATTAGCAAGAGCCATGTTTGGCACTTGTGACATAATGAAATTACAATAAACAGCCAAGTTTTTTTTCTCTCAGCAGCAAACTCAAGGACAAAGCAGGGTGGCTGCAGCCTACCCACGGGGGGGCACCTCAAGCCTAGACTGTCCCACCGCCCGTCCACCCCACACAGCCAGGCTCCAGGCCCCTCATGGGATGTGCTGGGAGCCACTCACAGCGGTGACTCCACAGCCACCAGCACACGTCTCCCTTCTGACAACTCCAACCAAGAATTAACTTTGGATGGGGATGAACTTCAACTGTATTTACAGTCCGCCTCTGGAAACACACACAGCGCACACCACACACGGATGCCACCACGCTGCAGCCATGGAGATCACCCATCTCCCGCACTGACAGATGGACACGTCTGTCCAGCTGAGCCGAAGAGGAAGCACTGGAAAGCACTTCCTCCTCACTAGCACGGCAGGACCTGAGTGAGGACCGCAGCATCTACCAGGGGAAGGAGAATCATCAACACAAGTTGGGTGGCGTGGCCCACTGCCACACCGGTGGCTGCAGAGCAGGAGCACGCAGAGGCTTCCAGGTCCAGTGGGATCCCGAACACGGCATCGAGAGCCACTGTCTCCTGGTCACCAGCTGCAAGGGAAGCCCTACTTACCCACCCTGTTAGACTGTTGGGTTTTCTACAAACTAGCTGGTTATTTCTCTATTTCCCCAGTCCCTGCCTACAAACAACCCCAACCTCGGGAGCAAACACAAATGCATGAATCACAGATGAGAAACAAAGCAGGAGGCGGGATGGGCAGCCCTGCTCCCTCCTGCCCTCACCTCACCTCATGGCGCGAGGCAGTTATATTTAGGTACCGCCACGGTCTGCGGTGCCGCGGCCCCCCTCGGGCACGGCGCAGAATGCAGATTTTCCAGACAACAGACCACAACAGCTCCGTCAAAACCATTAGAGGCTGCGGCGCCCAGGCCTGCGCACAGATGTTTTGATTCCCACTCTCCTGCCACAGCAGCCCTCAGCAGCCGCGGCGCTGCTATGTGCTGGACACACTCAGCCCGAATGTCGGCTGTCAAGGGCAGGACTGAGGAAGGCAGGGCAGCCACGCTCCACAGGGGAGAGGTTCCTCCCTCTGGTCTGCCCTTGCTGGCCTCCCCCAGGAGCTCCCAGAGGGTGTGGGCTGATGCCCCACCGTAAGAAAACAGAGGCAATGCAGGAGGGCAGCCCCCTGGTCACCCTGCTTCAGGCCGAAGGGATCTCCCAGGCCAAAACCCGGCAGTCAGTCACGGCCAACAGCCCCATAAGCAGCGACTGGGTCCCACACATGGCCAGAATGGGGAATTGTCTACGTCTCACCTCTCCCGCTGGCCAGACTCGGCTCTGAAGCCATGCAAAGGTCGAACCTCGGCCACGTTCTAGCAAAGGGAAACAGAGTTGTGAAACACTTGGCCTCCTCCCAGCCCATTCCTCCTGAACCACACCATCTCCCCAGCACAAGCACACCTCTCGCTCCAGCACCACCAGCAAGCAGCACTAGCACCTACGAGAAGATGGTTGCTGAAAACTCTCCCACCGCAGATGAGCAAGTCCAACACCAGCAGAGAAAACGCTCGGGCAAGGGAGTCCGAGCCCAGCGGAACAGTGTGTGAATAAGGTTGATGTAAAAGCCCACCAGTCATTTTTCAGCTTCTCCATTCAACATTTTTATTATTATTATCATCACCAGTGTTAGTATTTTATGAAGCGGGAGTGTTAACAGGCATGCTACCACAACCAGCCATATGTACATGAGTTGGGATTTAGCAACCTCCGCCGAAGCTGTTCAACTGCTAGCCAGGCCCAAAGTAAATCTGCTCCTCAGTCCTGCTCTTGGCCTCTGGCACAACACCATCAGGACCAGGGCGGGGGTCAGAACAGAGGGATGAAAGAGGGACACACGCCTTTGCCTTTGTCAAAGCAGCCGCTGCCGGCCGTGGTTTGACAGCAGCCACGAAAAGGCCAGGTGAAGGTGCCAGGCCCCACACCGCCTCCGCCACCGAGCAGCACCTTGGCTCGGTCCTGCGGGAACAAAAGGCAGCAGCAAGATAGGAGGGAGGGCATCGCGTTCCCACAGCTGAAGGCCAGCGCTGCTGTGAGCCGCACCACTGGTGCACGGAAGAAGGGCTGCAGCAGGCTTTCTGCTGGCCACTGTTCCCAAAATGACCATGAATGAAAAGGAAAGAATAGGAAAAAAAAACAAAACAAATACAGCAAAGCAACCTCTGTGTCTAGACACAGGGTTCCTCAACCCTTTAATATGTCTTGTCTTTGCTTTTGTTTCTGACCAAAGTCGGCCTGCGGAGCAGGATCCGGGCAGGAGGGCAGCTTAGGAAGCCTGCACAGGAGCAGCCCTCAGCCGGGAGGGCAAGCAAAAGCCCTGGGCCTGGTGCTGCACGGCAGCGGGGAGCCCAGTGTAGCCCTACAGGGGGCTATCGGAGCGAAAGGACCCTGCTCCATGACTACTCTCCACTCAGCTGCTCCCCAAGCCTCAGCCGGTGCCGCAGCCGAAAAGCCACGCTCTGTCTTGTGCTTAATGCCGGACCAGACAGTGCTCCCTAATGAGGGAGCATTACAATCAGCTTGTAATGCTGAATTTTTAATGCTGCCGAGGGCTCTGTTACATACTGAAGGGGAAGCGGGCGCAGCGGGCGGTCGGCAGGGTGCCTGCTCCCCCCAGGTCCCCGGCAGACCCTTGCACCCCTGCCCCGCCGCTTACCGCCAGCACTGTGGGATGGGGTGCACGCAGCACCCATCGGAGCTCCTGCCTGGCCGGGAACCTCGTGCAAACTTTCCTCAAGTGCATGGAGAGGTGATGCCAAAAGCTTCGCTCTCCTCTCCACGAGAGTTCGTCCGGGAAGCGGTTTAAAAGCAAAGTTCATGAACATGTTATCTGCATGCTCTCGTATGTTCTGTACATACAGTCTGTGCTGCCGCTCACAGTAATACCCTAAGACTGTAAATCTATAACCACTGCAATGATTTAGTGATTAAAAACATGATAACATATTGTGTAACTGCAAACCACAGAATCCCTGCCAACTCTCCTCCAAGATACAGGAACAAAAATACAGAAAATGTGTTGCTTGCAGCAGTCTTCCTAAACTCAACGGAAAGATTTTAATAATAATAATAATAATGAAAAAAAAAACCAAACCCAGCCCTAGACATCAGAAAAAGGCCGGATACAATGCAAAGCTGGAAAAAAAATTAAATGACAGAGTTTTAAATACAATTCTTGCTCTAACAAATTACAATCTAAACATGCCTCTCTTTTTTTTTCTCTTTTTTAAGTTTGTCGTAACTGGAATAACTGGTCTTGTGTGATGTCTTGCATATTCAAAGTGCTTTGTAATAGGATACGGAGACCAAACCTTATTTGCCTAAACTCAATGGGTTTTATTTTTTCCCCTTCCCCCCCCCCCCATTTCTTTTCCTTTTATTTTCCTTCCTTCCCCCCACCTTTTCTGCCCTAACGGGGAGGGCAGGAGGGAGCTGTGGGGGAGGCAAAGGAAGAGAGGTCTTTAAGCTGTAAAGAAAATACCTGAAAGGGGAGGCTGCGATTTGTAATACAGTGAGGAAAGCCAAATATTATATATGTATTTTTAAAGGCAGCTGTGGGAGTTTTGGCCTCTGAGCAGACAACTTGACCTCGTCCTCACTATTCTCTTATTTCCCCCTTCGCAGGATCCCTGCACCTTCAGTGGGATTCGAACTCAATGTGACCCTAAGGAGGGAGTCACCGAGCCTCCAGAAAATTGCTCCATATTAAACAGGAGCGAGAAGTGGAGAAAGACAGAGGGCCGAGAAGGGATGCAGCTGTATTCTGTATCCTCACAAAGTACAGGACAAACCCACGAGCAGCTTCAAGCCCAGCTTGAAAGAGAAGCAGCCCTTTCCCGGAGCAGAAGAAATATTTCTAATTTAAAAAAAAAAAAAAAAAAAAAAAGAAGGGGGGGTAAAGGAAAGTTTAACAATTTAAATTTAAAATAATGCTAATAAATAATAAAGAAAACAACAAAACCAAAACAAACGCAACCTAAATGATAAATATCGCAGTGAAGCCCGCGGGTGCGTGCCACACGCGTGCACACAGAGCCCCACGGCAGCGGCAGCGGCCGCGGCTCCGCGCACCCCGGCTCCGCTCGGGAGGGCTGGCTCAGGAGCCGCCCTCCCTCCGCGGGCGAGGAGCAGTTTATTCAGAGGAATCAATAGGAAAGAGCATTTGCAAATATTTAGATAAGCGCCGTGCGATTCGGCATTAAGTAATTAAAAACTGAAACTGAGAAGGGGGATCGGCCTACAGCGCGTTCGCTGCTTCACCTCCCCATCCCCCTAGCCGCATTCTTCCCAAAACCGAGCCTGCCCGCGGAAAACAAAAATCGGAATTACTCGGGCTCGCCAGGCCGCTCCGGGGCCGCTCGGGCTCGGCGCCCGGCCGGGCGGAGGCGGGTGGAGGGCCGGGCCGGGCCGCCGGCGCCGGGGCAGTTTCGGGCACTTCTTCGCCCCTTTGTTTTCCAGCGCGTCCCCGGCGCTGCGCGGCCGCGGGGTCCGCCCGAACGGCCTCTCTCTCCCCATGGGGTCCCGGGGGGCGCCGGAACCCCGCCGCCCGCGCCCCGCCGCGCACAAAGCGGCGCAGCGCCGAGCCTCTCCGCGCCCCGCGGCCATGGCCCGGCGGGCGGGGCGGGGGCTCCGCATACGCGCAACGGCCCCCGCGGCGCCGGCACCTGCGCGTTCCCGGCGGCGACGGCGGGGCTCCGGGACGGCGAGCGGCACAAAGTTTGCTGGGGGATCCGGGGCGGTGGGTGGGAGCGGGCGGGAGGGGGGGCCGGACCAGCCCCATGCAAAGCAGCCCGGGCGCCCCGAGCAGGAGGAGCCCGAGCGGGGGACAGGGCAGAAAAGTTGCCACTTACGCGGTCGCTGCTCCGGCGGCGGCGGCGCTTTTAATCCCGGGCGGCGGCGCGGGGGCTACAGATCCCATGCAGGCTGCGGCGGCTGCGGCGGCAGGAGCGCACTCCGCGGAGGGGCCCGGGGCAGTAGCAGCAGGAGCCGTGGGCAGCAGCCGGAGCCGAGCGGGAGCCGCCGCCGCCGCCGCCGCTGCCCAGCAGCAGCATCGTTGTCGGGGAGTTTGCAGCCCCCCGGAGAGAGGGGGCCGCGGGCGGCGGCAGCAGCAGCAGCGGCGGCGGCGGTCGGGTCGGGTCGGGGCGGAGCGGCGCGGAGCGGGCGGCGGGGCTGGCGGTCGCCGGAGCAGGAAGCGCCCGGACTCAGATCTGATGATTGGGAAGAAAAAAAAACTCTTTGGATCTTTATTCTGCTAATTAGTTTCCTGCAAAAAATGGCTGATTAGTGCAGTGCGCATGTGCCTCATTACCCAGGCACGACGGGAAGGGCTAATTAGCCACCTTCTGGATCAATAAGATTCAGCCCAGGCGGCGGGGGAGGGAGCGAGCGAGCAGGAGCGGGCGGGGGGAGCGCGGCGGCGGCGCCGCCGCACCGAAACTTGGGGCAAGCGGCCGGCCCCCAGCCCGCGGCGGGGGGGTGGGGGGGCAGCTCCGCGCCCAGCCGCGCAGCGCTGCGTCGGGGAGGGGGTGCGCGGGCCACCGGGCGGCTCCGCTCTTCTCCGCACCGCTCCGCGGCAGCGGGGCGCTCCGCTGGGCCACCTGCCCCCCGTACCCCGGGCGGAGCCGAGCCGGGCCGGGCCGACCCTCGCCGCCGAAGTTTGCCCGGGAGGAGCCGGGAAAGTTGCGCCGGCAGCGAAGCGCAACTTTGTGTCCGCGCCGCCCCGGTCCCCTGAGCAGGGTGCGCCGCGGGCGCGGAGCTTGGCGGAGCGGCCCCGCAGCGCCCATCCCCGCGGCGTCTGGCCAGCGCCCGCTCAAACTTTGCGGCCGCCGCTCCGAAGTGGGACAGCGGATCGATGCGGCCGCACCCGGCCTCGCTGGGAGCCGGGCTACAGGTTTCACCAGCCATCGCTGGCAACAGCTTTGTCATTTTCTAAAAATAAGAAGCTAAAAGTTATTGTAGAAGAAGGGGCTTTTTTTGTCCCCCGCACAATGTGCCTTTTGTGAGTTTAATGCCATTCCGGGGCTCTCTATAGCCCCGGACAATGGGGAACTCCAGGAGGCGGCTGTGCCTCTGCCTTTTTTCTTTCTTGCTTTCTCTTTTCTTCTCCCCCCCCCCCCCCTTTTTTTCCCCTTTTTTTTCTTTTTTTAGGAAAGGATGCAACATTCCTCCAGTCCAAACAGAACTTATGGTTTGATTAAATAAACATTTCTGTAGCCTTGCGGTAACATTTTTCACTTTCTGCTCGGGTCCATCTGAGATTATTATTTAAAATTTTTATTTCCAGCAGCTTTTCCCTCCCCATTCCAGCCCTAGCGAAAAAATGTAGATGATCGTTGGGAATGTGGGATTTGAATTTTAGGAGGACCAGTAAAGAACCTCTCTTCAGGCTTCAAGAATATGTTTTCTTCATCTTTCTGTAAGAGACTCTTACTACTGGCAGAAATGAAGCTGAATTAACTTATCTCTCTTGAAAATCTAAAGAAGCTTAGCAATTGCTACCTTTTTTTTTTTTTTTTTGCCTTTTTTTTTCTGTTTTAATTTTTGTTTTTCTTAGTAACCCAAGTAATTAACTTCCTGGTTTGTTTCGTAGCACTGAACAAGGAATGCAGTTGCGGTCAGTTTTTCCATTTGGGAGAACCTTAATGTAGATGTATTTTATACTGAAAGGTAATAAACTGCATGTTTGTTAATAAGTATTTGTGATGAAATGTATCCAGCTTTCTAGGTTTTTACGGTGGGGGTAGTCCTTTGAAATTTTGACAAGTCCCTTTCAGTGGGATGGGGGAATGAAAGAAGGGGGAGATAATCAGAAATTGAATAAGGGCTGTACTTGTTGGTACAGTACGGTGTCGCACATCTGGCAAAGGTATTCACAGGTTTTTAGACTCGAGTTTTAATATGTACCATAGTTCTATGAGTTTTATAAATGCAGCTCTGAGGTGTACTGTTGTGATGGGCATGCTATGCGTGGATTCTGGTGGGTTGCTAAATGCATAGACTCCAGTACGTTACCAGTTTGCCTTTAAAAGCTGCCCTTGAAAATGTGTAAAAATATATTTGTCTAGCTTTATAGAAGAGTAATTAAGTTACTTGCCCTTCCAGAAAAATAAGAAAAAAGGAAAAAAGAGAAAAAAAAACCAAACAAAACCAATCCCCCCCCAGGAAAAAAAAAAAAGCGGGGGGGATGGCGGGGGAAGCCCAAATCCAAACCAACAAGCCTTGGGCAGGTTGGATTTTTCAGGGCTGTGTGGTGCGCTGTCTGTAATGGTGCATGTAATTTGGAACTGTTGTTTGTGCTGAGTATGAAACAAACGTGTTCGGATGATGGAGCTGAGGTGAGAATAAAGTAATCCTTGTCTTTTGGTACTTGATGTAACTTAGAAGGAGTGTGTGTTTTCACCAGAGGCTGTAGATCTCCTGGACCCAGCTGGGAATGAGTGCTGCCTGTGTACGTACTTTTTGCAGAGCAAAGAAAAAGTAAATATGTGGAGAAGGTGGCAAGAAAATCTAGTAACTGTTAATGCTCCAGAAATAGGCACTTTCACAAGAACATGTTCAAACGCTGTCTGGTAGCCATGTACATTTTCTTTGCATTTGCATCGCGAATTCTAGATTTGTGTTGCTGTCCTCTAATTTCCCATGACAACATATGGATCCCATAAATGCAAACATGCCGGCGTGCATCTGTCTGAGTAGTTAACACAAACCAAACATCCCCCTGTTCAGCGGCTCTGCTGCTCCTCCGGCCATGCTGCGCTGTGCCCTCCTGCGACAGCCTCTCACTGCTCCTGCGTTCATGCTCCCGGGGTGATCCCAAGTGCCTCGAAAGGGAGGAGGGTAGCAGGCACCAGGGTCAGAGGAACCCAGGGCTGCAAGGGTTGAGTGGGGAGCACACTCTGTGGCCCCCAACCCTCGTGGGAGCTGGGGCCAGCCTGTGCAGGCTCTGTGCTGGGGTCAAGTCCTATGACATCTTCCTTCCTCTCCTGGGGAGGGCAGAAGATGACGCTGGGGAGGGGAATGGTCACCTGGAGCAATGGCAGAGGTTTGCCCCATGTTCTGGACATGGCCATCCAGAGCCTGGGGGATAGAAGAGCTCCCAGTTCTACTGAGGGGGCAGAAGGTGGTGATGGGGTTGTGTGTGTGTGTGTGTGTGTGTGTGTGAAAAGAAGGGACTGAACAAATGATGGCTGCAGGACCAGCCAGATAAACCACTGCACAAGTACCAAAATAAATCTAAAGAATTGAAGAATAATTTGTACAGGAATCGTTAAGTATGATTACACATACATGCATGCATTTCTGCTCTTGAAAATTTACTTCCCTTAAGGTTTCTTTGTTCTAGGCAAAAAAACAATCACTAAAAAAGGCAGTTGCTAAAATACAAGAAAGGACTACCCTTGCTTTAGTTAGAAATCTTGATAAAACCTCATCTGTAGTACTACAGATACCTCTTGGTACTGTATATGTATCTTTACACATGCATAGACAGGATTTTTTGGTCCAAATAACCTTTAATGTGCTTAGTAGAAAGAAGCTCTCAGTATCAGATCTCTGGGGAAGACTGATTTTTCCCATAGGAAACTTGTTAAAAACACAGTTGAATTATTAGGTTAACTCTTAATTTTTTGTCTGCCATCATATCTGGTCTATTTGAATACAGAATTGCATAGTTCCAGTTCTGTTATTTTGAACAGATGGAGCTAATACCAGCGCTTTAAAGGAAAGTTATTATTTGCAAAAATGTATACAGATTGGAGGAACAACTTTGAAGCAAAAGGTTTTTCTGAGGCAGTGTATATGGCTTTCTGGACATAACTTTCATAAAAGATGGTTGTTACCTTGGGTATATAAACAGGGGTAAAGCGGCTTCAGTTCCCCGGGTTCTTCAGGGAGACTGAGTACTTCCTTAGAAATAGGACTTGGCTGTCGAGTGGCTTCGGAGCAGCTCTGTCCTGGGCCAGATCTGCCTGGGGCTGTGGTGGAAGCAGTTGACTGCAGTGAATTTTTAGGGACCACAACCATGTCCTGTTGCTCAGCACGAGGCGGCTGCACGCTGCCTCCCTCCGCCTAGTGCTGTGTGGAGCACGCTGATGCTTTGAAGAGGCCGTCTGGACATGAGGGACTAATATATGGATAGAATAAGAAAGACATTCCAGGCTAGCTTGTTAAATTCAGGCTTTAAAAATTATTGGGGGAAGGGGGGAGAAATCCTGCTTAGAAAAATATCTCCATAATTTCATCCACTTATGTAGCTTTGTGCTTCTTGGAAATGTGTCTGAAGAATCAGAACAAAGCGTAGAAGGCCAGAGTTCTTGAAGGAGCTCCAAATGATAAAGTCTGCTATTCATTTTAAACACAGCGTGCATTGTGAAAACACAGGTCAATTTGAAGGCATTTGTCAGATTTCCAGTTCCCTCTGCTCCTTTGCAATGGAAATTTGCAATCAAATCCCCGTACTGGAGTTGGGATGTCTGCCTTTATCGGTTGTTATTACTTTATACTCTGAGCGTTGACCAGGTAAGCTGTCTTTTCATTTAGAAAGTTTGTTTGCATAAAGTTGCATACAAGAAGAGGGGCAGGCTGACATGGATTAGGCTGGAGCAGATGCAGTTATTTAGGGGTTTGGGAAGGGGGAAAGGGCAGAGGATCAGCAGCAACTGATTGCAAAGAGCTGTCTAAGCTGCAGAAGCGATCTGATACCATTTAAAGACACTCAGCAAGAGGCATAGAAAGGGGTATTCCAGCAGCAGCATGTTTATTGTTGGGATGCAGAAATGCAGCAGGGCTCTGAACAGAGGGCTGAGACATGAACTACTGAGCAGTTCTATCCACATAATGGGAATGTCTTCTGGAGGCATGTACGCATGGTTTAATGGGCATGGGGCTGCCTACTTTATTGCTGAGAGATGTGGGGGTATGCTAGAGAAGACGCATAGGTATTTCTCTAGAAGACACACATTCTATAGGGTTTGGGAGAGATTTGGGTCGGGGGGAGGAATT